GGAAGGAATGGGGTGGAAGATTGAGACTGATGAGGAAAAGGAGGGGTGGACCGGGCTGATATTTAGATAGGCACGTGTTAATCCTGGAAGGCTGTAGATGATAATGAGGAGAGAAAGAGGGCAGGGGGGGGGGGCGAGGAGGAAAGGAGCTGACGGAAGAAGCCTGCGAGGAAGATTCTACAAGCGGGGTGGAAAAGAGGGCGGAGCAGGCTGGCGACAGTAGGAGGGCGGGGTGCAAGTGCGCCCCGATTGTGCACGGGATATATATGAAAGCGTGATGGGCAGCCGACTGGTGAGAGCGGAGGTGGGGCGTGGGGTGAGGGGCACGAGTCAGGAAGCGGGGATGGGAGATGGGATAATAGCAGGGACACGCACCATTGGCCGGCAACTCACAGTGTGTGCCCATTTAGACTCCCAAGATTTCCTTATTTTCGTTGCTTGAAGGAAGGTTCGGGGAGGTTAGGTGGGCGCGGAGGGCGGGGTCTCGGGGGTCACGGAATGGTGCTGGCGCGCGAGTGAGGTGTGGCCGTGCGTGGCCGGGGGTGGGCGCTGGACGCGGGAGGGCGGGGGGCGGGCCGGCAGCGGCCAGGAGCTGGGAGAGGCGGGCTCCGCCGGCACACGCCGCCCCTGGCAGGGGGCCGAACGCGCGCGAGGAGCCGCCGCCGCCGCCGCCGCCGCCGCCGCCGCCGCCGCTCGGGGTCGCCTCTAGCCCCAGATTCCCGAGCGCTCGGCTGGCATGGCAGCGGCCTCGGCGCCCGGCCCCGCGGCCAGCTAGGGGCGGCCTCGCGTCCCTGCCCAGCCCCTCAGCGGAGCCCGTCGGATCCGGCCTCGCTCTGCTGCCCGGGACACGCCGCCTCCCAGCCGGAGGTGAGGACSGGGGCGCGCAGGGCTAGGCGCTGTGGGGATTCCAGGCCCTGAGCAGTCGCCAAGCCGAGCGCGCTGAGATAGGAAGGGAACGTGGGAGCTAGTCCTAGAGGGTGGGTGTCGTAGGTGCGGGTAAGGGACTGCTCGCTGCCGGGAACCAGGAACAGTCCCTCCTTCTGGCCCCCGCGTTCCCTCCGTGCTCGAGGACGCCTCTCTGTGCTGTCCCTATCCCCGCAAACCCTTCGGTCCCGACCGCGATCCCCACCAGCCCCAGCCATTCCCGCGCCGTGGCCTCGCTTGGCGCTGCCCATCCTTCCTGCAGACCCTTCTCCCAAGTTTCTAGCTCTAGTACCCTCTCCTGCTCTACCCTTCCCGGTTCCAGGTTCCCGCTACCCGCATCCACTTCTTCTGTCCCGGTGCCCTGCTCCGTCGTCGGCTTTTGTCAATTGGAGCCCATATCTTTGCCGCTATCTCCGCGTCCAGCCGCCTCCCAGCCAGTGCCATCCCACAGGTGTCTACACGTCTGGCCGTCCATCCGTCGGTCCCTCCTGGGGCGGACGCTGACCATGCCCAGCGGTTGCCGCCGCCTACATCTCGTGTGCCTGTTGTGCATCCTGGGGGCATCAGGTCAGCCTGTCAGAGGTGAGAGAGCCACAGGGTTCCAGTCGCCTCCCTGTCAGGCAGTCCTAGCTTGCGCGTTGACCTCTGCTGGCCAGAGACGGCACTGCAGCCACTCTGACCAGTGGACCTGATGAGACTTGGGTCCTCCCTTTAAAGTGGGATGGGTCTGCTTGCCCGGGCCAGACCTGAGTCCACCCAATTACTAGAACCATGAATCCTCTCCCGAGTTCATATTCCAGTAACCTGAACCCTGACCCGGACTCACCCTTCCAAATCAATCTCTTCCAGCGGATGACTGCAGCTCCCACTGTGACCTGGCCCATGGCTGCTGTGCACCTGATGGCTCTTGCAGGTACCTATCCCCAGCACTGCTCCAAACCCTTTGCTCTCCATTTCCCAGACCTTCACACCCACAATTAGGTCAGGCCTCAAGTCAGAGTGCCCAGGGGCTTAAGACCCTACTGTTCACCCTATCACTTCTTATGACATATAAGGCAGACTGGCCAACTTCCTTCCCACCCCACCATTGCCATTGGCCTCACCTCTCTTGCTTTTTCTAGTTTATCTTTCCCAACTCTGACCCAGAAATTCTGAAACATTGCTCTTCAAGACATCTGGAAGGAGACCTGAAGCTTGAGAGCTTGGAAATTGAGAGCTACAAGGGAAGATTAAAAAGAGAGGTAGCTTAGGAAAGAGGGGCAGTAACTGGGGAGCAGAACTTGTGATGTATGAGGTTCTTTCTAGATGACTTGAAGCAACTGATTCACTGAGGTGGAGGGTGAGTCAAATTCCGTAGCAGGGAGAAAGTGGACATAAGAAATGAGCTGAGGCAGGTTGCTTAATGGACTGGGAATGTTTGAGACTACATCTTTGGGAGGGCTTTAAAAAATAGTCGTTTGCCTTGGAATTCAGTGGGAAGATGGCCCTGATGACCTTTCAAGGTCAGTCTTTGCTTAATTGATTGTAAACACATTAGACATGCCAGGAGTGGTACTGGAGGCATTTATGGAAAGGATCTTATTTCTTCCCCAACACAAGCCTATAAGGTGTATCTTCAATTCTTGATGAGGACACTAAGGTTCAGAAAGGCTAGACAAAGCACAGAACCAGGACTAGAGCACTGGTTTTGGATACTCAGTTTCTGTATGTGTCCCATGATCCTGCACAGACCTATACCTGCCTGAGACAGTTCTCGGTTCCCACAGGGGATGTCATGTGTCCTTCTGGTTTCAAGAAGCTCTGGTTCTGCATCCTCCCAGAACCCTTACCTTGTGCTTCTTCCTTTCAGGTGTGACCCAGGCTGGGAGGGGCTGCATTGTGAACGCTGTGTGAGAATGCCTGGCTGTCAGCATGGTACCTGCCACCAGCCCTGGCAGTGCATCTGCCACAGTGGCTGGGCAGGCAAGTTCTGCGACAAAGGTAGGGGGAGGGAAGCTCTTGGTTGGGGAGTTCTTGTGTCTTAGAACATTCATCAGTCTTTATTCATTAAGCAACTATTGTGTTCTGCTTTTAAATCCTCAAATACGTGGTATTTTATCCTTTTTGATTTTCTACCTACCTGTTGTAAGAATTTGCCCTCAGCATAACCCCATGAGGTTGGAAAGGTTGCTACTAAAAAAGGTACTTATTTTACACACGAGGAAACTAAGGTTCACAGAAAAGCTATAGCTTGCCCAGTCAGTTTGAGACAGACTGCCAGAACAAGAGCCAGGTGCCTCCTGACTCCGACATCAGGGTGGTTTCCCTCAGTACAGCACATCAGCCTACTGTATACACACACAGACTTGGGTCCAAAAGGGCTAGCCATGTAGGCCTGGGCAGGTCTGATAACCAGATATGAGGGGTGATCAAAAGCCTTCTGTCTCTTCTCCAGATGAGCACATCTGCACCTCCCAGTCCCCCTGCCGGAATGGAGGCCAGTGTGTGTATGATGGGGGTGGCGAGTACCACTGCGTGTGCCTACCAGGATTCCATGGGCATGACTGTGAGCGCAAGGCTGGACCCTGTGAGCAGGCAGGGTGAGTGCTGGGCTTGTGGCAAGGTTACAATAGAATCTGGTGACAGGATGAAAAAGGCAGGACTACAAAGAGCCAGGAGGACTGAGGGTCAGACCCACATGACCACAATAAAACCCCTGGCTCAGGATTTGTTGTTCAACTTTTTTTGTATCTTCTGAGCCATTTCTTCAACAAGCTATAGGAGCTGGAGGTGTAACAGATAATGTATGACAGCTCTGGTTGGAAGGGTGGGTGAGAGGAGAATGAGGGAACAGAAACTGGCATGCAGCTCTTAAAGATATCCCACACAGCAGCCTTATACCTCTTTGTATGGATGATGAAACAGCCCCACAGGGATGGACTTGTCCTTGTTTCAGCTTTAGGATAAGAGCTTGGGGGGATAATAATAGCACATTTATCCTCAGGCCTGCCTTTGGGCCAGACCCTATGCTAAATGCTTGACATCTGATTCTCTCATTTAACCCTCACATTGTGCGGCTAAGTACTATTTTTATTCTCATTTTTAAAATGAGATATTTGAGACCCAGAGAGAGTAGACCAAGGTGACACAGCTAGGAAGGGGGGGCGGTAGTCAGGATGCTGACCAAGGCCATCCTGCAGGTGTTAGAAGTTGATATCAATATCCTTTCCCATCCCCACTGCAGCTCCCCATGTCGGAACGGCGGGCAATGCCAGGACGACCAGGGCTTTGCCCTCAACTTCACATGCCGCTGCTTGGCGGGCTTTGTGGGTGCCCACTGTGAGGTGAATGTAGACGACTGCCTGATGCGGCCTTGTGCTAATGGTGCCACCTGCCTTGATGGCATAAACCGCTTTTCCTGCCTCTGCCCTGAGGGCTTTGCTGGACGCTTCTGCACCATCAACCTGGATGACTGTGCCAGCCGCCCGTGCCAGAGAGGGGCTCGCTGTCGAGACCGGGTCCATGACTTTGACTGCCTGTGCCCCAGTGGTTACGGTGGCAAGACTTGTGAGCTTGTCTTACCTGTCCCAGATCCTGCCACCACGGTGGGCACTCCCCTAGGGCCCACCTCGGCTGTGGTGGTACCTGCTACAGGGCCAGTCCCCCACAGCGTGGGGGCAGGTCTTCTGAGGATCTCTGTGAAGGAGGTGGTGCGGAGACAAGAAGCTGGGCTAGGTGAGTCTAGCTTGGTGGCCCTGGTGGTGTTTGGGGCCCTCACTGCCGCCCTGGTCCTGTCCACTGTATTGTTGACCCTGAGGGCTTGGCGCCGGGGCATCTGTCCCCCAGGACCCTGTTGCTATCCTGCCCCACATTATGCCCCAGCACGGCAGGACCAGGAATGTCAGGTTAGCATGCTGCCAGCAGGGTTCCCCCTGCCACCCGACCTGCCCCTTGAGCCTGGAAAGACCACAGCACTGTGATGGAGGTGGGGGCTTTCTGGCCCCCTTCCTTACCTCCTCCACCCCTCAGCCTGGAGTGGTCCTTTCTTGCTACCCCTCAGTTTGGGTATACATACTGAGGGGAGACTTCAGCCTTGTACCAGAAATATTATTTTTTTAATATACAGAATGTAAGACAGGAATTTTATCAAATAAAAGTATGAAAATGCACGTGGGCTCCTATGCCAGAAAACCCACCTCAAGTCACAGGTGCAAGAGGGCCAGAGCAGAGGCCTGATTCTGGGGAATCCTCAGCACTCTGCCCTCAGGGAGGGACCAACGAGGAACCCAGGTTGCCATTTCTCCTCTGGGGAAGTGAGGGAGGTAGAGCCACAGAGGAGAAGCAGCAAGCCCTTCAGGGTCACCTGGAGGAGAGAACTCTGGAGGGTGCAGTGTGGGGCTCAGGGTCCTCCAAGAGAGGAGGGGCCTCCCTGCTGGCTACTCTGCAGCAGCTGTTGGAACAGTGAGTGGGGCTGGTTACGCAGGGCAGAGGGGGAGTCCAGCTCCATGACCCTCCCTGCTTGTAGCACCAGCACCCGGTCGGAGTTCAGGATTGTGTTGAGCCTGTGTGGGAGAAGGTGGTCAGTGTAGAGAGCAGAGGACAATGCCCTAAAGGAAAAAACTGATGAGCTGTCTGTCCCTATCCCCCAGGACTTCAGAGGTCTGTCCCCACAGGCATTAGTCCCTGGCTCCATGCTGAGGAGGGACTGCAGAGGTCCCTCAAATAATGTGCTACTAAGGGCCCAGAATAGTGTGTGGAAAAAGAGGAGCCAAGATCTATGGGCCCAGATCCTTGGGTTCCTGAAAATACTGAGGGCAGGCTATGGGTCCATGTCACCATGGCCCTTGATTAGTCTTATTCTGGATACTTGCACACCTGTGAGCAATGGTCAGCACTGTTTTGTTGGCAAAGCGTTTGCAGATGGTCTGCTGGAGCAGCTGGTCTGTCTTCTGGTCCACGCTTGCTGTGGCCTCATCAATGCACAGAACCTGAAATGTATGTTGAGGAAAGGGAGGGAGGAAGGGAGGCATAGGGAGCTATAATCCAGTGCACACCTATAGTGGCCGCAGCCAGCTCTGCCTTGCAACTTCTCTCCAACCCCTTCTTCACCCTGACACATCCCCTGTCTCCTTTCTGATCCTCTCACCTTACCTTGGCATCTGTGAGGAGAGCCCTGGCCAGACATAGCAGCTGCCTCTGTCCCAGGGACAAGCTCCGGCCCCCCTCGCCCAGTTCGCCAAGCAGACCACCTGTAAGATGGAGCATTTTCATTGTGGGCCAAACCTCTCCCTGCTCCTTCCCTGCTGCAAGGGTCAGGACCCACACTTACCCATGGAGATGATCACCTCACTCAGATGGCACTGTTCTAGGGCCTGCCACAAGGCCCTGTCCTCATATAGGCCCTGGGGATCCAGGTTTTCCCGAACAGTCCCACTGAACAAAAAGGGCTCCTGGGGGATGATAGCTAGCTGTGACCTGGGGGACAGGACAAGAGATCCAGGCTGGAGATGTGGCCACTTCTGCCGGCAGCACAGGTTTTAACTATGGAGCTTGTTCTTCCAGGAAAGCCTGGGGATGAGACCTGCACACCACCCACTCTGCTTCCCACCCCATCTCCACTAACTGGCCAATCAGTTAGCTATGCACATAGAACTGTGCTGGCATTATGAGTAACACCAAAGAAACCAAAGGCCTGGACTCGGGCCTTAAGCAGCCTACATTTCACCGAGGTACAAAACAATAAGAAAAAACAAGGGCTAAATTGTGTGGCATAGACTCCAGGGACAGCAGTAGCTAAATGGGGAGGGGCCCTTCTGGGTGGAGAGGCCTGGAGTTGGATCTTGAGCCAAAACTCAGAAGACAGAAGAGGCAGGGCCAGGGTCATGTGTACAGCCTTAGCATACAGCTTGCCTACCTTTTCCACATCATGGAACTGAAAGAAAATACTAGGTTAACCTAGGGCCGGGGCTGAGGGATCTGTGGAACAGAGGAGGCCACTTGTGGCATGGATGGTGTCCAGTTATCCCAAGAACTGTCTACTGAGCTGGAGAGTCGAGGGATATCAGGATCCCCTGGGAAGCTCTGATATAGAAGGTAGTGACTAGTGTCTAAAGTGGAGACAAGAAAGATGGAGCTGGAAATGTAGCCTGGGTCAGGGTGAGGAAGACCCCAAGGCTGCTAGCCAACTCTGCACCTGAGGAGGAGCTTGCTGGCTTCACTTGCTCATCTTCTCCACCTTATCCCAATTGACCCTGGCTGTCCTGAGAGTATGGAAACCTTCTGGCTATGCCCTCCTCTAGGTGCCATGACCCTGGCCCTGCCTCTTCTGTCTTCTGAGTTTTGGCTCAAGATCCATCTCCAGGCCTCTCCACCCTCTTCCCTTTTTACCAACCTCCTTCCCCCCAGACCTGAGCTCAGCCAGCTCTAGCTGGCTGGTGTCCACGCCGTCCAGCAGCACTCTCCCCATACTGGGCTCCAGCAGCCGGAACAGCACCAAAAACAGGGAAGACTTGCCAGAGCCCGTTCGGCCTACAATGCCCAACTTCTCTCCAGGTTGCACACGGAAGGTCACCCCATCCAGGGCATTTGGCAGCCCTGGCCGGTACACCAACACCACATCCTGGAACTCCACACTTCCCTGGGTCAGCCAGCTGATGCCCTGCACAAGGGAGGGGGCTCATGAATAGGAGATGGAGGGAAATGGGTGAGATGAAGAGTGACAGTGAGGAGGGGGTTGGAAGGTATACAGAGGGGAGAATAATAAGAAATGGGTGGTCTGAGAAGAAAGATGGGGGAATGGGGAAAGACGGGAGGCTGAATGCAGGGATGAGGGACAAAGTACATGGAGATCATGCAGAGAAGCAAGGGAGCTGAGCAAAAGCAAAGGAGCCTGAGGGAAGGCTGAGGCCTTCAGGAGACCCTGCAGGGATCTGGAGCTCTGGCCTGGGGTGGTGGGGTACCAGCCTACCTGCAGTGGCCGGCTCTGAGGCTCCTGAGGCAGTTCACAGGAGTACTCCTCCAAGCGCTCGAYGCTCACTAGCATGGTTTCTGTCTGTGTGAAGCTGCTCACCAGGCCTGAGAGCAGGCCTGTCAGGGACAGGGCATAAGACAGCGACAGGCCCACCAGCCCTGGGGAGAAGAGCACCAGCTGCTGGGGGAGGCCTGGACACTGGGACATGTGTGGGAAGTGGGGGGCAGAACAGGAGAATCCCAGCTGTGGATTATGGGTGGTTAAAGGAAGTTGGTAGAGAAGCAGGCAGATGATAAGACCTAGTCAGAAGCATAGGAGGCTATATGCACAGGAGCAGAGTGGTGTAGAGAAGACATAACGGAACTGGGGATAGAGCTCAGCTGGTAGAGTGCGTGCCTTGTGTGCACAAGGACCTGGGTTCAATCCCCAGCATCAGAGGAAAAAAAAAGAGAGAGAAGCCCTGAGGGGTAACAGGTGAAAGGGGGCAGGATGATATGACTTAGGGATGGGTACAGGGAAGGGATTCAGATCAGAAGACTCATTCTAGTACAGATCCTACACCACCAGAGCAAGTCACTCCTGGAGACAGTTCCCTCAGCTCTCAAGTGGCAGTGATAATGATGAGACCACCTCACAGGGAACCCCAAATGGGAGAGGGATTTGGTGGGGGGGGAATAGTGCAGGGTGCTGGAGTGACTTGCTCCTGGGGTAAGGATGAAGGGTTGGGTGGTACCTGGGTTAGCAAGGCCTTGCTGGTGCTGCACCAGGGCGATGCCTGCAATGGCACTGACCACTGCCGCCCCCATGAGCTGTAGCCGAATGTCCAGCCACTGTGTTGTGGCACAAGAAGAAAACTGGCATCTCTGGTTTAGCTCTAGGAGTTGCTGGTTTTTCTCCTCAAACCTGGGGGAGACCAGGAGGGAAGTGAGGCCACTCCACTGCTATGCTGATCCACCCAGGCTCCTTTACAGTTCACCTTCTTCTGAGCCATTTATACATCATAGGCCTCACTTACGGAGGCAGAGAGGCCCATGTATTCTTTTGAAGGGGACCTGCTCTGCCTCTTTCTGCTGTTTTCCTCCTTTACCTTAGTACCCTCTCTCCCAGAAGGTCTGGATCCCCCTACCCCACATGCCTCTCTTATCAGGGGTCTATTCACTCCTCCCCACAGCACACCTTGCCCCCTGAGCTGTGGTTAGGAAATGCAGCCATCACACACCTGTAGGTGGCCCCAGCTGCCCGGAGCACGGGGAGGCCGGCTAAGGTGTCAGCCAGGTGGGTATACAGTGGAGACAGGGTGAGGCTGCCCAGGCGCCGAAGCTCTCGTGCCGAGGCCCTGTAGTAGTACTGCACACGGTAGTACATGATGCCCAAAGGTGGCAGCAGCAGCAGCAACCAGGGCAGGCCAAAGCCCAGCACGGCCAGGAGGCCCAGCAGGCCAGCTGCATTGGCCAGTAGGATGTTGAGAATGAAGGGCAAGCTGTCATCTGCACAGGCCACATCAGAGGAGAATCGGTTTAGGATCCGGCCATTGGGCGTGGAGTCAAAGAAAGTCACTGGTGCCTGGAAGAGATGGGGTTGGGGAAGAGCAGGGTCTGGAGAAAAAGAGTTGGTAGGCACCCCTGGGAGAGGTGGGGTGTTAAATACAAAAGGAGCCTGGGGACAAAGGAGATACAGGTGGAGTTTGGAGGAAGACCGTCCCAGGGTAGGAAACACTCACTGGAGGTGGAGGCAGGAGGATTGCAAGTCCAAAGCCAGCCTCAGCGATAGCAAGGTGCTAAGCAAAGCAACTCAGTGAGACCCTATCTCTAAGTAAAATTCAAAATAGGGCTGGGGATGTGGTTCAGTAGTCAAGTACCCCTGAGTTCAATCCCCAATTCCTATCCCCCCGAAAAATTTTTAAGAAATAGAATGTGAACTCTAACGCAGTATTATTTACATAAATTAAAAATAGGCACACACATAATATAGGCATTTTGCAAAATAGACACAAAAATATATATATTGAACACAATGGAAATGGTTGTTTATCAGGGAAAGGAGGAGAAGTAGAAATAGGGTATGGAGATACAAGGGGATAAACAAATGAGACAGAAAAGGGGCCTTGCACAAACTAAAAGGTCAACGCTTCGTACTTCAAAACTGAAGTAACCTTGAGCAAGATTCTCTTATTTGCCCCATGTTGCAAATGAGAAACTATAGGTTTAAGTCACTGGATTGGAATCCAGAAGCTACTCTGCTCTGTGGTCTCCCCAAGTCTCAAAGGTTGCCACTGTGCTGTACCCACCTATGAGGGGCTCTTTACTTCTGAGGACTAGGGATGTATGATACTCCCTGAACAGAGCCCATGCACTCCCCCACACCCTCTCATCCCCTTACCATGAGGACTCGATGCAGCAGGCGGTGATGCAGGGTGGCGGCTGCTCGGAGGGTACCTGCTGCGAAAAGCACTGCCCGGAGAAGGGTGCATAGAGAGTTGACACCAGCAATAGTCGCATATACGGTGAGGTAGAAACGGACGTCTGAGGAGCCATTGGGGGCAGCTTTGGGCAATGGGAACACTGGGGTGCTGGGTAATGGGGAGGGGATTATGGTAACCCAAAGTAGGGCCACTCAAGGGGTCCCTCCCCTCCCCAGGCCACTTGTCTCCACCCTCCAGGAGACAAAGCCCCTGAAACATCCAGCCCTCAACCTCGCTTTCTCCCTGGAGGCCACTGAGAGTAACAGGTCTATTCCCAGCCCCAGGTACTCACTAGAGGCTTCCGGGGGAGAAGAGGAGTAGCTGTGCTGAGAAAAGCCTGGGGGACCCTGGGCTGGTGGAGGCCAGCATCTCCTCTGAGCTATTCCTGGCTGCCCTCAGCTGAGAGATCCAGTGGGACAGCCACCAGTCAGCAGCATTGCTTGTGGCTGGATGGGGGTGGGAAGAGGAAGTTGTGAGACTCCTCTTCTTCTGTTCTATTCAAATATCTTCTTCTTCCTCTGACTTTGACTCTGGTTCCTACCCTCTGCAACCCTGGGGCCTCCCCTCCTTGCCACTATTCTGGATCCTCCCTATATGAGCTTCTTTCCCGGACCATCACCCTTCAGCTCTGAGAATAGCATGAATTCAAATTTGCAGAACAGGGCTCCTGTGAGGGGCATATCAGAAGGCCCCCATGGAGTGCAGCGCTCTGACTTTGTCAGAATTGGGGGAGGTGCCTTTTGTCTCAACTGTTGCCTATATTTAGTGAGTCTCTGGGCTTTGTGATGATTAGCACAAGGAGATGGTGGTGACAGGCACCTGGACAATATGGCTGTGGGATGAGGGAGGGGTGGTTAGGGATTCCAGGATTCAGTCTCACCTTGCATTAGGAGAAGAGAGAAGAGGATGGCAAGCGCCAGGCCCTGGCCCACAGCCCTCCAGTATGTGCAGTACACATGCAAGGCCACGGCACCCTCCTTCTTGCTTTCCTCCTGCAGGAGGCGGCCAGATTCGTTCTGCTCCACCTTTAGGCCTTCCTTTGTTTTCTCTGGGTCCTGTACTGACAGGGCCTTGGCTAGGAGAATCAGGGAGATCATGGAGGAATTAAGCTTACAGAATGATAGCTAAAAACTACCATTTTCAAACTATTGGTGTCTCAGAGGAGAAGGCAGGTTTTGAAAAAAAATCTCTACAGTGTGACTGTGAAAAGGAAGCCCCTTCCTCCCACCTCTGGGTCGCACCTGAGTCAGGCTCTTGTCCATTTTCAGCCAAGGCTTTGGGGACAGCTTGTACCAATGGGAGAATCTCAGAGGGAGGCCCTGGAAGGTACAAAGGGAGATTAGAGTACACTGTTAAGTGTCTATACTACACCTTTCTAACTGTGTACAATCCCACCTTTTTTTTTTTTTTTTTTTTCCCCTGCTGTACTGGGAGTTGAACCCAGGGGCACTCTACCTCCCCAACCCCTTTTTAATTTTTTTTTTTTTTGTGTGTGTGTGTGTGTATGTGTGATGCCGTGATTGAACCCAGGGCCTTATGCATGCGAGGCTGGCACTCTACCAACTGAGCTATATCCCCAGCTCCTTTTTAAATTTTGAGATAGGACCTCATAAATAGCCCAGGTTGGCCTCAAACTTGTGATCCTCCTGCCCAAGTCTCCCAAGTTGTTGGGATTACAGGCATTCGACACCGTGCCCATCTCCACTTCTTTCTTTGGTCCTCCCTAACCCATCCTAGTGGAATGCTGCTCTGTGTCCCCCTACACTCTGAGCAGGACTCAGCAAGTCCATCCCTCTGCACCCAGAGTCCAACCAGCAGATGGACAAAGGAGAAGAATCAGTCATGCATGAGCACCCTGATCAGGTTCAGCTCTTTGTTGCAGAGCTTTTCAATTCCTGACACTCAGTTCCTGATATTCCAGTTGAGCCTCATTTCTTCCTGTTACTCTCCCAGTGAACTTCCAGATGGTCATAGCCCTTTGGATATATAATCCTTCCATTTTTTTGTTTGTTTTCTTTACAAAAATGCTGTTCTAAACCCAAATGCTTTCTCCTCTTTTGAAAACATCAGACTGTCTTGAGATTCTAGGTCTCAAAGTTCCTAAGAGCACTCAGTCAGAAAGTCCCTGAGTCCCACATCTGCTGGCATTTCACCAGTACATGCCTCTTCCCTCCTGTTCTGTGAAGGCAGGAGGAGGTGAGATCCGGACTCAGGCCACACATGGAAGGGGCGGACGGCATGGTCTGTACTTGAAAATCCACCTGTCTCTCTTCCTTCATAACACACCTCCCTCACCTGACTGGCTCCTGCCCCACATTACCAGCCCGGACAAGGTGCCCAGCCTCCATAAGCAGCACCAGGTCAGCCCTCTCCAGGTATTCAGTGCGGTGGGTGCACAGCAGCCGTGTAGTGTGACTCAGCACTCCCAGGATGCACTTGTGCAGCAGGTGGTTGGCCACATCCGCATCCACAGCAGCCAGGGGGTCATCAAGAAGATAGAGTGCTTTCTCCTAGAAAGAGGCCAGGTCCAGAGGCTCTTGAAGGCCTGGTCTCACAGCAGCCAGAGAAGACAGTTGACAGCAACTCTGGGGTCTATCCTCAGAGTTGTAGGGAAGGAAGTGAGACCTGAGTGTGGACTTCTCTTAAATCAAACAACACCAGAGACCCAGGGCCAGCCTCTGCCTCAAAGTTGCAAAAGGAGGATGGCATGGCTAACACCTCATGAGCATGGGGTAGGGGAGGAATGTAGGTRTCGATGTCAATGAAAATATTCCTATCCCCTCATTCAGTCAAGCTCCCAAGGCTCTGGATTGCTTCCACCTCCCGGCCCTTGACACCCTGTCCTTGAATTTACCTGGTATACAGCACGAGCAAGAGCAATCCGGGCACGCTGTCCCCCACTGAGAGTCACACCCTTCTCCCCAACTTCTGTCAGGTCTCCTGCAGGCAGGATCTAATGAAACATACACCAGTGGTCAACCAGCTCCTCAAATACCTTCTACCCTGTTTCCTGTCCCTTTGTAGGCTCCTTTGTAGGAAAGAGATGACAAGCATCAAGACACCTAGGGAACTTCAGATTGGATTTATACTTGGGATGAGTCAATCAGTAGTGACAAGCCATATCTCCAACAATATCTAGCATTTAATGAACACCTATTATGTGTTTAACACTTTATAAACATTATCTCATTTGAACCCCACAGGGGAAGGACACAAACCCAGATTCTTAACCACTGCGTCATGCTTACTACCCTACCTTCTAATTTTAATTTTTAATTAATTAATTTTTTAAAGATGAGGGTCCTCACTAAGTTGCCCAATCTGGCTTTGAATTCGTGATCTTCCTGCCTCGGTCTCCTAAGCAGCTGGAATTTTAGGTATGCCATAGTGCTCAACATTATCCTTTTTTTTCCTTTTAATCTTGCCTTTTTAACAGGCAAGGATGATGATGGGTCAATCTGATGTGAAAACTTTCATAGGTTTTCAGAGAAGAAATATACCCTGAGCTTTCTTGTGGCCTCAGGAGTGGTCTGCTAAGCTATGAGGTCTCCATAACCAGAGGAAGCACCTGTGATTCATAGATGTTGAGTCTTTTGACAGAAAGGCTTGTTATTTGTCTCTTTTCCCAGTCCCTAGAATAGCACTCAGGACCCAAGAGACACTGGGAAATTCTTAATGTAGAATCAAATGAAAAAATGAACACAGGATACACCATGGTCAATGTCATGATTCTCCAAAGTCATGCTGTTCTAAACCCGACTGCTTTCTTCTCTTTTCTCCTTTCTCCAGGGAAGTTCCACATTTATCTGGGAAAGTGGTAATGAATCCTGGGGTAGACAAGGCGGTTGGGTGGAGAGGTCATGGGAGAAATCTGGAATCTCTTTCCTGACAAACTTGGTACTCTGGGCTGGGGATGTGGCTCAAGAGGTAGTGCGCTCGCCTGGCATGCATGGGGTGCTGGGTTCAATCCTCAACACCATATAAAAATAAAATAAAGATACTGTGTCCACCTAAAACTAAAAAATAAATATTAAAAAAACAATAATAAACTTGGTACTCTGAACTGGAGGGATGTGGGGGAGGGTGTTGAATTTAAGGGGCTTGGCAGGCTTCCCTAGGTTTCGAAATGAGACCTTGACTCTTCTAAACCTTTTAGTGGAAGTGGGGAAGGCCTCCTGAATTGGAACCAGTAGCCAGACTGGTGCAGAGCAGAGCCTCATAGGGAACCCTTGCCTGGCCCCTTCAGGGATCTGAGGGGAAGGTGCTTTGTTAACACCCACCTACCATCACCCCTGTAGGCCCATGGGGAAGCAGGAACCAAGCAGCTGGACCCTCTGAGAGAACCAGTCTGGGGTGGTTAAATGATGCCTGAGTAGAAACAAACCCTTTCCAAAGAAGCAAATTTCTAGTTTAAGTGTCAGAGACACAGGAGGAAGCAGGCAGCAAGAGTTTCAAGGACAGGTACTCACGCTGAGGTCCTCTTTGAGGGCACAGGCCTCTAGCACCTCCCCGTACAGCTGGGTGTCAAGAGTCTTCCCGAAGAGGATGTTGTCTCTGATGGTGGCAAACTGGATCCAAGGTTCCTGGGTGGCCAGGCCAAAGCCCTTGGATAGCCCCCACACTGCCACCTGCCCATGCAGCCTACAGAGAGTCAGGTCAGCAACATGGGGACTAGCTCCCCACTGGGTCTCACCCTGCCCAGCCTCTGCCTCCCAGAAACTTCCTCAGACAGCTGCCTTCTACACAAGGTTACCCTTAGTGTTACATGACTGAGTTGATGCCCTCTGAGGTTGAGGGGTCCTAATGAGGCTGTCGGCCCATTCTGGCCTGGGAAGAAAGAAACTGCTCTTGCTATAGGCAAGCAGCTACCACGTCTATGTGCTCTGGAGCTCAGAAAAGAGTGGGGCACCACACTGTACTCATTCCCACCTGAGAACCACATTATCTGAAAGAACAGGTGACATTGGATAGTTTTTCTATCTTTTTATGGCACTATGATGTATGAATGATGACACAGTTGAATTCTTGACAATTCAAACGCCTTCCCTTTTCCAGACTAAAACCTCTTTCAGGAAAGAGGTCATATCTTGTCCTTTTGGTACCCCTGGCCCCCCAAAAGATGTCTGATACTCAGCAGGGAGGGGCTCAGTAGGTATTTACTAAAGGAGAGCAGAGGACAGCAGACATGGGAGGTCTATTACCTGTGCAATTCCCCAGCAATGGCAGCCAGCAACGAGGTCTTTCCACAGCCTACCTTCCCCACRATGCCCACCAGCATACCCTGCAAAGAAATCAATCACAGTCAGTACCTGCTGTTTGCAGAGGGAGGACAGAGGGGTAGTGGTAGTGGTCTCCCTCTTGAGGCTCTAGGCTGTTAATTCTCCCACTTTTTTGAGGCTTCTCTCTAGGTCCTAGGTAGTGTGCAGGGAAAAGAATTTTCCACTTCACAGGAGAAGGGCCTGCCTCCCTGTCTTATCTAGAGAAGCAGGTTTACATGCTCCACTCAGAGTTATTCTGTTCCACAGGCTGAGTGAAGGTCCTCTGAGGGGGAAAGCAGTTTGCCAGAGAGAATGAGAGGAAACTATCTTAAGAATTGCAGGGTAGGGGCTGGGGATATGGCTCAAGCGGTAGCACGCTCACCTGGCATGCGTGCGGCCCGGGTTCAATCCTCAGCACCACATACAAACAAAGATGTTGTGTCCGCCAAAAACTAAAAATAAATAAATAAATATTAA